CGTATTTTATATCACTGAGTTGTTTTTGTGCTGCTAAATTAGCAATAATCGGTAATAATGGTGAAGGTGGAATACGTCCTACTGAACAATCAACAGCAATTTCAAAAGCTTCAGGAGACATTTGAATAAGTTGTTCTTTAGTTGAATCTTCTTGTGAAGCTATTTCAGTTGTATGAGAAGTGAATGCATTAAAATCTTCAATAGAAAAAGAATAAAGAGATTGTAAATATTGCATTAAATCATTATCAGGATGTTGAGAAAGATAATTAATAGCTTGAGGTGAAGTATTGATATGTAATGTATGAGATAAATAATGATTTAATATTATTGAATGTAAGTTAATTGTCTTATTAAGAGAAATGAGGTATGAAGAAATAGATTCAATTGTCTGTTCAGAAGGAAAATTATGTTGGATCATTAATTGAAAGATTTTTATTATTTTTTCTAAAAGATCTTTTTTAGATATTTTTTAGATGACTTGTCCATTGTGTTTAACCCCTCTAACCAATCCAATAACACTTCCGTGTGGCCAAATTATCTGTAGTGATTGTGTAGATAGTCTTTTACTTGGAGGGAGTGAAATGGAATGTCCATTATGTATGAATACACATGTTTGTTTCTAATTTGCTTTTGAATGACTTTTTTATTTGACATTGTTTTTATTGTTACAACTGACCTTTATTACAAACCAAAAAACTCATTTTTAGAACACAAATGACATTTTTACGACAGATAAACAAGTAATTGATAATACTACTGATAATCCTCCTTTAATTTCATTGACATTACACGATCTTCCTCAAGACAACCAACAACCAAGTGTTATTAAACAACTACAACAAGAACAAAGTTATGACACACAAACACTACCACAAGTGTCACCAATTATTGAACCATTAAAACAAAATACCGAGTCAAAACAAAGTATTCCTATTCTCGAAATTCAGAATTCACCTACCCATGAAACAATACTTCCAGAGAATGAGCCGCCATTAATTCCAGTTCCTGTTCAAATACCTGTTCAACCAATTGATTATTCAGAAGAAGTTCCACCTCCAATCTATCAACCTCCTTATATTCCTACTCCTCAACAACCTTCATTTATTGTATCTCAACCAACGATACCAGTGTATCCAACTTTTGATAATTCTCAAGTTGTACAACCAACTCCAACGTATGAAATTAAACCAATACCACAAAAAAAATTACCTCCTCTTCCTCCTCCAAAACCAAACACTAACTCAACAAATCCATTTGATGAGGTATCATCAAATAGTAGTTCTATAACTTCTTCTAACACTTATTATTTTTCAGAAGATGAAATTCCACCACAATTTACTGCAGCTTATGGAGCACCAATAAAACAAAAACCACAACTTCCAAACAAAGCCAGTAAACTCAATGCAACTCATTTTGACACACCTACAAAAAAAGTTCAAGTACAAACAAAACAGAGTTCTCCAAACATTCAAAACCCATCAGAATTTCAGCCTAAGTCATTTAATACTCCAATAAAAAGAAGGTCTGAATATGTTCCAGTTACTTATGAAGTTCCATCTACTTCTGTAAGTCATTACACCTATAATCAAGAAAAAGCCGTTGCCTCAGGGAATGTAGTATGTTCATCAGCGAATTTTAATAATGATAATTTGCCATTACATTTTATGAGACAAGAACAAGACAGTGAGGACCTTTATAAAATATTCAATAAATGGATTTCTTCTGGACTTTTTTCATCAAAAAAATTATTAGAAGTTGTTGAAAGTCAACCAATTATTTTTGATGATATTCATATGATTCCATTTTTATGGATTCAACTTACATTTGGTTGTGATGGATGTATTGGATATTATGAACGTCCATTAAGTAATGTAATATGTTTATGGCAATCGTCAAGTCCTTACAGATCATTGTTATTGAATGAAGTAATAATACCACCAGGAAGAATATATAAGTTTGATCCAAAAAATCCTAATGCAAGAACTCTCAAACAAATAGAAAATCCATCAGTAGTAGACAAATTATCAGGATGGTTTAAAGGAAATGATTCATTTATTACAAAAGATATTCCTAAAAGATTATTTGAAGATTCTAAAGAACCTATTGGGATATATCAAAATTATGTCCAAGGACAAATTGCTAGTTTAACTAGGGAATATAAACAAACTGCTTTAAAAAGTACTCAGAATGATTTTAGTTATTCTTGTAATGTTAAAATTATTCAAGAACGTTCAAAAGTTCAAAGAATTTATATTCCTTTTTGTTTTACTTCTTATCGTTATGAAGGAGAATTAAATTATGTATTAATTAACACTGTATCTGGAGAAGTCTATGGGAATAAAAAGAAATCTGTTTTTGGAATTCAATGGAATTCTAAATAATTTTCATTATTATCTTTATCATTTTAATTAATTTAATTTTAAGTATTTCCTTTTTTCATTTTTATTTATTCATTTGTTTTATTTTAAATATCATTAATTTTTCTTTCATTTTAAGAATTAAACATAATTTAATAGAAATATAATTAGAAGCATTTATAAAATGAAAGTATATTAAATATTTCATAATACTTTTTTAATTGTATAAAAATATATTATATATTTGTTGAGAATTATTATTGACTTAATTAAATTTTAAAATTATGAATAATATTATTTATGAAAAAAAAAAAGAAATATATAATCAATACAACAGTATAAAAGATTTAAACCTTAGTGGAAAAAAATAAATCTATTATTAAAATCTTATCTTTTTTAAAAAGAATAAAACAGAAGAATAAAACAGTACCACACTTAATAGAGAAATAAAGATTTGGAAAGAAATCCTTACAAAAAATTGGTAATTAAACATCACAATCATAGCAGCATAATTGTTAAATTTTATACTAATTTTACAACAACCATTTCTTTCCAAGTAAATTTCTTTGGAGCCAAACGAGTAGAAAATATTTTTCTTCCCTGAATTGGCATATCTGAATAATACAAATCAACTGGGTCATTTTCATCATAAATATAACCATTTCGCTTATCAGTAAATACACCTAATCCTCCAATGAATACTTCCGTTTCACTTATTTTAAATGCATCTTCATGAGGTCTTAACCAATTATATTTTTGTGTTGGAACATTGAATGGATTTGATAGTGTAAAAGCAAACATATGTTTATCTTGAACTGCAACACCAAGAGTAGTTGGATGAACTGAATGATAAGTACCAAATAATTCACCACTATTTAGTTGATATAATATCATGAATTTTTGACATCCTTTAGTTGCGTTAAACACATCAGTTAATGTCTTACTTTTTTTAACTGCCATAACCATTGCACCTTGACTACATCCAGCTAATTGAACTAAATTATTCATAACCAGTTCTATAATATCATCAATTTTCATTTTTATTGTATCTTCAATAGGTAAACTACCAAACGAAGGTCCTAAAGAAACAGCTCTTCCTGAATAAGTCATTTGGTCAGTTTCTTCATCACTAGAACTACTACTACTTTTGGTAGAAAGTTTTTGTGGTATAGGTTTGTTAAAAAATGCACTAAAAACATCCAAACCATTAACAGTACTTTGAGGTGTTTTACTTCCACTATAACCTATTTTTGGCTCTTCTGTGCTAACTTTCTTTACGGAAGTAGAAGTTCTTGATAAATCACTGACTTTATTTTCTAAATTTTGAATAGAAGATTTAAGTGAGTTGTTTTCTGTTTCAAGAGATTTAATTTCAGAATTAGCTTGTTTTAACATTGATTCGAAAACAGCAATTTTAGCTAGTAACTTATCATTCTTATTACTAAGCTCTTTATTTTGCTTCATTAATATTTTGTCATAACAATATTTCTTTAACACGTCAGTATATCTAAAGGATGACAAGTCTACTAACTCAACGAGTTTCTCTAAGTATCTATCGTTTTTATTATTTATCATAACAATTATATATGACTCAAATTGTGCAACGTCTTCGAAATTAATTGCTTGTTCGGGAATAATTTGTTTGAATTGTGTTGAATATTGGGTGACGATTTCTTCATTAAGATTAAATTGTTCCATTAATATCTTTTTGACTGGCTCACGAACCATTGGCCTTGCAAGATAATTGACTGCATCTAATTGTGTTGTTGTATGTGTTAGTTCCATTATAACTTCCTTCATTAAAATTTCGTGTGATGTGATTTTTTTTGTGATAAGTTGAAGTGCTTGGTTTATATCCATCGATATTAATTTTTAAGTTCTTTCCCTTTTTTATTTCTTTTTTCTTATCATTATTTCCATTATCCTTTAAATTCCTGCATTTTTACTTCAACCTGAATCTCAAAAAAAAGGGTATGACGCAAATTAACTTTTTAATTTTTTACAATCATTTATTATTTTTTTTACTATTTCTTACAACATTATATAGTATCTAAGTTAACATAATGTTTTAAAAACCCTGTACTTTTTTGATATTTGTTTTTCTTTTGATTTTTTAAATTGTTTTTAATTCTAAATTTAATATAAATATATTTATTAAATAATTGATATAACTCAAAATATAATAGATTGAGTTTTCATAGTCTTTGAAGCAAATAAAATTCTCAATCTATTGTTTTTTTATCATAGATTTTTTTTTAATTCACTAGATCAAATGTGTGGCTAGTCATTATGAAAATTTTTTTTCAGTTAAACCAACAAACCAAATGTTTATTCTTATTATTTTTTTGTATGTTATACAGTCAAAATGAATATAAAATATCATCATATTTTTGTATATATAAAATTTTTTATTATTATAGAACGATTAAAAATTTATAATCATATAGTATTTTATAATTTATTCTTATTATTTCTTATTAACAGAATCTTTATTTATTTATGAATATCACTAATTTATAACTATTATTTAATGTATTTTCTCTTGTTATTTCTTAACTTTTTGTATAGTCATATATAAAACACTTATAGATATTATATATTCACCTAATTTATAACTCTTGACTTTATTTCAATACCTTTTAAACACTTGTAACCTTATTCATTTTCTTTAATCATTTGTCTATTTTAATTATTTCTAAATATTTAATTTATCCTTTGAATATTTTTTTGGAAAAAGTATAGAAATTTTTTCATAAATTGAAAAGAAAAACAAAGAACTATAAAAATAGAAATGGTTCTGTTAAAAATTGTAAATGAATTATATCAATTCTCAATGGAATTTAGTAATGAAGAAACCGTCGGAGAAATCATAAATTTAATTAACACAACCCTTCCTAAAATCATGGCAATCAAAAAGTGCCAAGAAATAGATATTGATCCATTAATTCCACCTCATCTTACTGAAATAAAAGAAAGGGTTGTTAGTGAAGCTATAAAAACTATTCACAATGAGTTTCTTGATATCCCTTCATTAGACGTAGAAATTGCTGACTTAAAAAGGATGTATGAAATTGTAATGAATAAACAACCAGAGGCATTTATTAATCAATTAACAACACCATGTACATATACGAAAATGATTTGTTGTAAAAAAGAATTAGATAATAAAAAAACGTTTCAATCATTATATGGACCAAACAATAAACTAACATTAAAAGTAATTATAGAGTGAATACAATTAACAATTGAAGATTATTTTTTAAAATATCATTTAACACAAATTCTTTTTTTTTTTAAATCTAAAACTTAAAAAACAAAATAAAAGAATAAATGAGTAAGATTGATTCATACTCTATGATGATTGTTGGCAAATATCTCATGACAAGTGATGATTATAGAAGAATTATACGTGTCAATTCTAAATTTCGTGATTTATTAGATAAATATAGATATAATCCTCATAGAGATTTAAAGTTATTTCATAATATTGAAACCCAAGTTTTGTATAGTAAAGTAGATAAAATAAAAGAAGGGATGTATAAGTATATTGTTGTGTATGATATTGACTATAAACAATATCTTGAATTTCCTGAGTTCATTAGAAATAAAATGGAATTTCGTAATTTAAAACTAACTGAAATGAATATATTGGAATACTCAACATTAATTAATCATATAGGAACTTTGGGAACACAACTAAAAACTATTCATGAACAAATCACACCTCTTTCAATGAAAACTTATATTATTCCTGATAAAGTTAATTCAATAGAAATGAATACATTTAATTCAAGTGAGTTATTAAGAAAAGTAATCTTTCCATCATCTCTAACTTCTATAGGGAATTATGCATTCAAAAAATGTCCACAATTAACTGCTGTTGATTTACCAGAGAATTTGTTAGTAATTGGAAATGAAGCATTTAGTAAAAGTATTCAAAAAATAACTATTCCAAATAAAGTTAAACGGATTGGGGCCAGATGTTTTGAAGGATGTTTGTTAGAGAGTTTTGAATTACCAATAAGTGTTTACGAACTTGGAAGAGGTTGTTTTGAATACAACACAAGATTAACTAAAGTCATTCTTTCTCCTTATATTCGTTCAATCCCACCGAAATGTTTTCTTGAATGTATTTCATTACAAAACATTGTTATACCAGAGGGTATTGCTTCAATAGAAAATAAAGCATTCTTTCATTGTGGATTAAAATCATTGATACTTCCTTTTTCAATAACTTCAATTGCTCTTGACGCTTTTGACTCTTCTTCCACTACCAAGTTAGTACAAAGAAATAAGAATATAATACAATACCCAGTAAGTCTATTTGAAGCGATTTTATTCGATAATTCATCAACACAATGCAATGACATTCATTACACAAAACAAGATGGTAACTTCATAGAAAGTGATTTGTTTAATAAAGTTTCAATCATTGAAGAACAATCTTTTATAAATTCTGATATTAACTCAATCAATTTACCTTCTTCATTAAAAGAAATTAAACAATTTGCTTTTTATAATTGTTCAAAATTAACCTCAATATCAATTCCAACATCTGTAACTTTAATAGAGACTTATGCATTTGTAAAAACACCATTACTAGATCTTAAAATTCCATTTCATTTAAAAGAAAATTTATCTGAATTTGATCCATCAACTTGTGAATTTGCTAATATTTTTTTGATTAATTGAAGAATTTTTTGAAAAAAGTTATTCAAAATGTTTTCTTGTATCTTAAAAAATTATTAAAAGAAGAAAAAACTTCAACAAGATCTTAAAAGTTATTTCATGTCATTATCAGTTAAAACTCCTCTTAAATTTTTAGATTGTACTCATGCTTGGGAACAACTTACACCTGAAGAACAAATTTATATACATTACTTGAATAAGGCTAATTGGGCATCATTCCCTATTTCTGTTAAACAGTGTTCAGTAGAAGCGTATGACATTTTTGTTGCATTTTTGAAGATGTACAAAACTATCTCACATACAGAACTATTAAAAAAAGCAGAAGTATCAGACAATACAAAAGAACAATATGAAGATTATGTTTCAACTTTCTTTGCTAATGGAGGAAATTACTTATCTTTTGGAGATAAAAAGTTTATTCCTGAATGTAGCAAAGAAGAATTTACTACTATAATTAAAGCATCTGGACATAATTATTTTGAATCTTTAATTGACATTATGTATGACGTAACTCCAAGTCTTATTCATTTTGGTATTCCACCTGAAGGATGCACTGCTTATTACTCTTCTAATATTACTAAAGAAGATATTGAGCATTGTAATGCATTATTACAAAAGAAAGGAATGTTATTAGAAAATACAAGAATTGATAAAATTAATAATAAATTAATAATTGGAATTGCTTCTATAGAAGAAAGGGAAGAAGAATATGAAGATGTAATATTAAAATATGGATGGTGTCATTCTGAGTTAGAAATGTTAGTAAATGAACTAAAAGAATGTGAAAAATTAGAGTTAGTTCAAAGAGATAAAAACAAAAAGGAAATGTTTAAGAATTATATCCAAACATTTACTAGTAACTATAACCTTCATAAAGAAGCACAGAGATGGTGGGTAAGGGATCAAAAACCATCTGTTGAATTTAATGTTGGATTTATTGAAACTTATGAAGATCCTATTGGAGTTCGTGGTGAATGGGAGATGTTTGTTGCAGTAGTAGATAAAGAGAAAACAAAAGAATTAACTGAATTGGTGCAAAGAGCAAATGAAATATTACCATCACTTCCTTGGGGCAAAGTATTTGAGAAAGATGTATTTGAATCACCTGATTTTACATCAATTGATATTGTTGGATTTGGAACTTCAGGACTTCCAATTGGAATTAATTTACCTAATTATGATGACGTTAGAATGGAACAATTTAAGAATGTATCATTGTCTAATGTTATGGCATGTGGTTCTAGCCAAGATAATATTCCTTTCATAAGTCTTGAACAACAAACATTATACAAAACATGTTCTCCTCGTGCCTTAGAAACTCAAGTTGCTTTGCATGAACTTCTTGGTCATGGAAGTGGAAAATATCTTCGATGTGACAATGGAAAGAAGAATTTCCCTGAAGACCTTATTAATCCTTTGAATGGGAAAAAAGTTAAATACTATCAAGATAAAATGACCTATGACACAGTATTTAAATCACTTGGAAGTGCAATGGAAGAGTGTAGGGCTGAAACCGTTGGATTATTCTTGACATATAATCCAATTGTTAAAGAGATATTAAAATTGTCTGAAGATGTTCAATACATTAACTGGTTATCTGAAATGAGAAGTGGATTAACTGGACTAAAATTCTATAATCCAGAAACTAAAAGTTGGGGACAAGCACATTGCCAAGCCCGATTTGCGTTATTTAAAACAGTTGAAAAGAGTGGTGCGGTTGAAATTATTGGAGAGAATATTGTGTTACACAGAGAATTAATTCCAAAAGGTATTGAAGCATTGAAGGAATTATTATTAAAAATTCAAATATGTAGAGCAACAGCTGATATAGAATATGCACAATCATTTTTCATTCCATTATCTACTCCAAACGAAGATGAATTAAAGTTTAGAGAAATTGTCATTAATAAGAAGATTCCTCGTTCTGGTTTTATCCAATGCAACACTAAAATGGTTGATGGTAAAGTTAAATTAATTACCTATGAACCAAGTGTTGAAGGAATGATTCAATCATTCTTAGACCGTTATTCATTTTAATTGAACTAACAGTAAAACTTTTATATTTTTTATTTTCAGTAATCATAAAGAATTTTGGAGTTAATAATTAATTATTCTCTCTTTAATATTATAAAAAAATATAAATATCAAATAAAATATTAATAAACAAAATATAAAAAGTATCAAATGAAATTAATTTATTTTCTTCTTCTATTTTGATTCATTGACTTCTTGACACTCTTAGTGGCTTTTCTAACAGATTTTTTAGCAGCTTTAGCAGACTTTTTGACTTGAACAATCTTAGCTTTAAGAGATTTTCTTTCTGATTTTGAAGCTTTAGCAAATCGTTTTTGTAATTTGACTAATTTCTTTTCTTTCTTAATAAACTTCTTTTCAGCTTTTTTCAAATTTTTAATCTTCTTTGGTGATGCTTTCTTTGAAGCTTTTTTGAGTAATGAATTTACTTTTTTCTTTTGAAGTTTAGCTTTCTTATTAATTTTATTTGCAGCTTTCTTTCCAAATTTAGTATTTTTAGTACTCTTCTTGGTTACCTTACTTGTAGCCTTCTTAGAAAGTTTGGTAAGTTTCTTATTGCTCTTCTTAATTAATTTAGCATCGTTCTTTTTAACTAACTTAATTTTTTTAGCGAGTTTCTTTTCAGCCTTTTTAGCAGATAATTTAGCCTTTAAAGCCTCTTTCTTAGCGGCTTTAGCAGCCTTCTTAGCAAGTTTTTTATTATTCTTTTTGATTAATTTAGCTTCACTCTTCTTAACTGCTTTAACTTTTTTAGCAAGTTTCTTTTCAGCCTTTTTGGCAGATAATTTAGCCTTTAAAGCCTCTTTCTTAGCGGCTTTGGTTGCTTTCTTTTGAGCTTTTTTAGCAGCAGTCTTAGCAACTTTCTTTGCATCTTTAGCCTTTTTAGCTAATTTACTAATAGCTTTTTTATCCTTCTTGGCAATTTTAGCAAGAGCCTTCTTGTCTTTTTTAGCTAATTTGGCAATAGCTTTTTTATCTTTTTTAGCTAATTTAGCAATAGCCTTCTTATCATTCTTTTGAACCTTCTTAACTTTCTTTGTGATCTTAGCAAGAGCTTTCTTGTCTTTCTTAGTTACTTTAGCAAGAGCCTTCTTATCATTCTTTTCTACTTTCTTAACTTTCTTTTCTAATTTAGATTGAACTTTCTTAAGTTTCTTCTTATCTTCTTTAGCAATTTTCTTGGTATTCTTCTTAGTATAAGCCTTTGCTTTACTAATAGCTTTCTTCTCTGCTTTCTTTTCAGCCTTTTTAGCAGCTTTCTTAGCAGATTTCTTGGCAATAGCTTTAGCGTTCTTGGAACTCTTAGTAATCTTTTTAGCTAATGATTTCTTTAATTTTGATTCTTTAGAAAGAGCTTTCTTTGCATTCTTCTTGGCTTTCTTAACTTGAGATTGTACCTTCTTAAGTTGAGCAGCAGTCTTTGTTCCTTTCTTAACGTCCTTCTTAATCTTACTTAATTTGCTTTCAGCCTTCTTTTCTGCTTTAGCGGCTTTCTTAGCAGTCTTAGATGCAACTTTAATCTTACTCTTCAAAGACTTCTTTGATTCACTTAATTTCTTTTCTACCTTCTTAGCAGCCTTCTTTGATTCAGATTTAGCTTTTTCAATAGATTTCTTAGCCTTTTCAGTAGCCTTAGTTGCTGATTTAGTGGCAACCTTCTTAGCTTCAGCTGCCTTCTTTTCTGCTTTCTTAGCTACTTTAGCAGCTTTCTTCTCTGCCTTCTTTCCACTCTTCTTAGCTTCTTTCTTAGCTTTTTCTGCCTTCTTTTGAGCAACAGCAACTTTAGCCTTTAATTCTTTCTTAGTTTGTTTTTCACTCTTCTTTAATTGTTTCTTAGCATCAGAAACTTTCTTTTCAACTGTTGCCTTTGATTGTTTAGAAATCTTCTTAGATACTTCCTTGGCTTTAGCTTTAGCGTCTTTAGCAGCTTTCTTAGTGACTTCTTTAGTTTCTTGTTTAACTTCTTTCTTCAAATTTTTCATTGCTTTCTTAATTTCTTTTACTTTCTTTTCGTTCTTCTTAGTATCAGCTTTGGCAGCTTTCTTGGTTTCTTCAGCTGCTTTTTTAGCTTTAGCAGTCATTTTCTTAGCTTCTTCTTTAGCCTTCTTTAATAACTTTTTAGCTTCTTTCTTAACAGACTCAGCTACTTTTTTAGCTTCTTTCTCTGCCTTTTTGACAGTCTTTTCTGCTTTCTTTTCAACCTTCATTACCTTTTTCTCGGCCTTCTTTTCTGCTTTTTTAACAGCAGCTTTTACCTCAGTTTTCTTTTCTTCAGTCTTTACAGTTTCTTTTTTTACTGGAGAAGCAGCTTTAGAAGTTGATTTCGTAATTACTTGTGGTGCTTGTGTTGATGATTTAGCAACTTGTGGAACAACAACTTTTGGTGCTGTTTTAGCATCACCAAGGATATCACCAATAATATTAACCCTTCTTTCTAAGTGAAGAACACTGATGATATTTTCTTTGACCTCAGCTGGAACAGTATTTAACAAGGCGTTGATACCAGCTATTAATTCGTTCTTTCTATTGAGTGGTCCACTTAATTCAGATTTAAGACTTTCAATGTATTGACTAATTTGTGGTTTATCAGCTGGAGCAGCAGCATCTAAATCAAGAATAGCGTGGTCAATTTTATCATGAATATGTCTTTCGATATCTTCAATTCTTCTTAATTCTACCTCTAACCTTGAAATTTTTTCTTGGACCTCATAGTAATTCTTTACATAATAGGCACTTTGATCAGCAAAAGCACATGTGATTGCGAGTAACACTAACAATACTTGCATTCAAATAATATAATTTTTAGTTCTTTTTTGTCCTTTATCTACCCAAAGAATTTCTTGTTGACTTTGATCTCATAATTTCTTTTTCCCCTAATTCCCTTTTTTTTCCTTTCTTTTTACCTATATTTTTTCTTTTTTTATATTTTTTTTTTAACTTTTTCTCCAAATTTTTTTTTTTTTTGTAATGTTATTCAAAATAGTTTTATATGAGGTCTTTTTTTCTCTTTTTTTTTTTTGAAGGGATAACATGGGCAGAACTTCTCAGAACTGACTAATGCTTGAGTTCAATTTTCACTTTATATTAAATTTTACTTATTTTTTGAATAAAATGTATTAAATATTATTAAGATTATTTCATTCTCAATAATACAAAAGTTGTAAACGAGAGATAAGACTCGAAGGTTAAATTGATAGTGTTAAATCAGTAAGTGGTTGTGTTATACTTTTTAACAGAACTTATTACAATATTATCAATTATTCATAACTTGTTATCACATAAAGAAAACAAAAAGGAAAAACATTACTCTAAAATAAACAAAAAATTATAAATTGTCAAGAAATATACGAACCAAAGAATCTACTCTACTGACAATGTAAAAATGAGAGTGTTTAAAAAAAAGTCTATTAGAACAAAATAAAGAGCAGTGAAATAATATTAAGAATGTACTAAACATAATTAACATAACAAATAAAAAACATTGAAAAGAAACAAATAAAATGTATTTAAAAAAAAATGAGAATTACTAATAGTTAAGAAAAGTATTTACAATGATAACATGTATTATAATAGAAGTTTAAGTGTCAATCAAGAAAATATTATTATAGAAGAAAAGAGCAAAGGTATTTACAAATAGTATTATCAAAAAAAATTACAAAAGCAGAGTTAAATGACATTTAATCAAATATTTTTATATTTTTATAAAAAATTAAATCAAATATAAAATTATAATCATCATATTATTTATCAAAAAAAGAATTAATATGTAATATATATTCGTCATTATTTTATAATGACACTTTATTTTATATTTAATTGATTTTAATAGAAGTATTTCATTAAAAAATTATCAACCATTTTTCTATTTGATCGTTAAATAACAATATAACATGAAATATTTATTATTTGTTATTAAAATTATACACCAATACTATGATAGGGTCAGTTAATTAAAAACGAATAAAATCAGTTATCAAAATGTCATTGTTTTTCAACAACTCTAATTATTAAATTAATTTTTTGACACTCTCAGAAAATAACTAATTAATTGTCATTGAAACAATTAAGTTTGAGTTAACTATTACAATATTATGTTTAATTTCTATTTTATAATAAAGATTTTTTATTAACACAGTAACACTTATAAGTCTAAGAGACAGTTGGTTGATGGTTTAAATCTTAATATTTTAGAAATACCCTTTCTATTTCAACTAACATTCTTACTTAATATAACTATTTTATAAATAATTTTCAATTAAATCATTCGATACAAATCATAAATTAAAAAGCTATTTGTTTATATACTTTTCCTGTGTGATTAATTGATAGAAAAATATTAACTTTTAATTCATTTTGGTTAATTATTTCTTGGTTATATTTCAACCACTTCTCAATAACTTTTTTATTAAAATAATAAAGAAATTTTTTGTTTTTCAATGAGATAAAAAAAGGGCTTATTTAAATAAAATTAGATAAATTTAGTGTCATAAGAAAATAAAAATACCTAAGAATTAATTCAGTATGAATTATTATGGATTTGAAAATATAATATATGAGATGAGTTCTTTCGATTTCTACGATATTCCAAATCTAAATCTAATTTAGAGTGGAAGAAGACAGAAGAATTCGAGAGGAAAGGGTATTTAAGAAAGAAATTTAAGAAGCAAAGAAATAAATTCAAATAGGGTATATAAAACTTAAAACTTCTGTTTGGAAATCAGGTTATGGGATGTCTTAAGAAACTTAAAGATTTAAAAATTGGGAATCCTGATATCCCATTATGGCAAAATATTTTTACTATGATTTGTTTCTTTTGTTTTGGTCTAAATTTCCTTATTTATTATAATGCTGTAGTAAATATGGGTGATTTACTTAGTGACGAATTTGATTATTCATTAGATTTTATGTCTACATATCCAATTTTTTTGAATTGGTATAATTTCTTTATTGCATTTGGATTAGTTCTTATGGCTACTTTTATAAAACGTTTCCCTTTTAATTTTTTGGCCCATTTTTCTTTTATTCTTTATTTGATTCTATTTGTTTTATCACCAATTGTATTAAATTATATTAAGAGTGATGTAGCTCGTTTTTGGGTGATGATTGTAATTGTAATTATTGGTGGTACTCCATGTCAAGTTAATAGTAGTGTATTTATGTCATTAGCAGGACTATTTTCACCAACACACAATGCAATTTTTTTGATTGGTTCATCTGCAGGAGGAATTATTTCTTCATGTTTACGTCTTGCATCAGGTGCTATTTATAAAAATGATCGTAAGAATGATTATTTCTTGTCGTTTTATTTAAATGTTATTCCAGTTGTTATTACCTATCCTCTTTATAACATTATGTATTGTTGTATCCCTCATACTAAACGTGTTATTCGTCAAAGTTATGCTAAGTCTAATACAACTGAACAACAAGAAATTGAAATGCAAGAAAGCAATAGTGGACCTATATCAAGTAATATTGCAGACAAAAACGACGCTAACTCTGTTTCTGGTGAAAATGACAAAAATGAACTTCAAGACCGTAAAACTCCAGAAAATGCTAATAATTCACCTCACTCCAGAAGTGGTATTTCAGAAGAAGAACAAGAAATAAACAATACAGCTAAAGAGAGTATTACTAAAGAAGTTAGTTCAGAACCTTCTACTGAAGAAGAACATGATACAATAGGAAAACAACTTGTTAGAGTTCTCAAAACTATTTGGGTAGAATTACTTTCAGTAACAATAGATTATTTCTGGACATTCTGTGTTTTTGCAGGTATATTTTTAGGTATTCCTTATGATGAATCAAAACTTGAGTTAAGTACTTCATTACAAATTAATACATTTATGTTTATGATTGGTGATGCTGTAGCACGTGTTTTGTATATGATCCCAATTCCTTGGAATAGATGGGTTATATTAGCTTTTTCTATTGCACGTTGTGTATTTTATGTTCCATTATTTATTTATTATTATGATGTGTATACAAATCCGTTTTTAATGTTCTTTATTATGCTAATCTTTTCAACTACTCATGGGTATTTTGCCTCTCATGCCATTCAATTAGCTTTCACTCATTCACAGTTAAAGGATATGAAAATGACAGCTAATTTCTGTAATCTTGGCCTTGATTTGGGTCTGGCTCTTGGAGCAACTGGTCTTTTTATTCTTAATTATATCCTCCCTGATCAATAAAAGATTGTTTTTTATCTTAATTTGTATGTTATTATCTTTTTTTATTCTAAAAAATATTATTACATAATATCAACAAATTTTATAAAGAATTATATCTTAAATTTCTTGTTTCATGAATTAGGATTCTTCTTTTCATTAATCATAAAAATAAACATTTAACTTTCTTTCTATAACTAAACCAAACTCTAGATTAAGAGTTACTGTTTAATATTATTTTCGTTCTATTTTTCAATTAGAACCTTTTTTAAAATAAAAATATATTCTTCATAAAAAACAATCAACATTTATCTAAGTGATATAAAAATCTCTTTATCAGAATACTATTTAAATGAATAGTGTCTCATTGATAATAATATATGATTGTATAAGTATTAGTTCCATTATTAAAAGTATTTAAGTTATATTTTAACTTATAACTTTAAAAGGTATTATTTAATATTTTTTATATGAAAGGGATTTGAAGGTAGCACGTCAGAGACACCACACAGATCCCTAAAATATTTCCATCCTTCGATTCCCCCAGTTATGGACTGGTTATGACGTACCGTTTGGTTAGAAAAACATCTTACCCAGCACTGCAAGAATAGCAGTGTTTATTATGTACAATGACAGAATATTATTGATAATATAAGAATGGGTATTTATAAAGATGATATTATTACTTAATATAATACAGGTATAATTGATAATATATGATTATCAAAGAAAAAGGGTCAAGTGGTTGAGGCTAAAAAGAATATTAGCCCATAGCAATACAGTAGTAATTATATATTCTCCTTAAAATAATAAAATAAAGAAGAAATTTAATATTCATCAAAATCAAAAAGAAATTAAATAATGAATATTTAAATAAGGGATGTTTAAATACTCTATTCCACATCAAAAACGAGAAAATGAAATTATCATAATTCAACAACTAAAATCAAAGAATAAGGCAATAGTTGATGAACAAATACATTTAAAGCGAAGGAACGGGATTAGGCTCACCTAAGCAAGGAACAATAGAAAATATTTCTATTAATACTTAATTATCTACTTTTTATTTTAATATTTTTTATATGAAATATTAAACAAAAAGTGATTTCTTTCGAAATACAATTTAATAGAATTTGTTGCTTAACACTATTTAAAAATGTTTAATAATCATTGAACTGGAGTGTGAGTAATGAAAAAAAAGGGAAAAAGTTATCTAAACATAACCACCATCAGAAAGTGAGTTAAATATAACATCAAATTTAAAGTTTATATTATACTTACTCAGTTATTTTATTATACAATATATATTCAGAGTATTATTTTTAAAGAATTGCTACTAATCCTTTAAATCTGATTTAATATTTTCTTAAAAATAGAAAAAAATTGATAAGCCTAAAAAATAAATTATATCAATATCTGTGATATATAACACTCATGTTATATCAATCTTTCTTCTTATTGACAAAAAAGAGACTAAATTAATAGAAGTATATTTTTTATTTATGAAGAAATTGATATAACTTATCATTTATAAGAAAAATAAATAAGTAAATCTTTTTTATGTAAATAGACAAATACTATTTAATTTTTTTAAGACTCATCGTATAAAAATATCTAAAAAAAAAGAAAAGTTAATTATTAATAATTTTTAGAATTGGAGTATTTGGTTCTTTAATAATATTGATTCTTTTCAAAAATATATTATTAAATACTTCTCTAAGTCTTTCTTTATAACCAGAAACCTCACACCTCTTTTGTTTAAACACAGGAATTCTTATTTAAATATTTTTAAAAAAGTTAATTTTTTATTACCTAAAAACAAATTAAAAGTGGGACTGTCTTCTGTTGTTAGCGATATTATAATACTTGCCCATTTCAGAACTATAAAACAAAAATGAAAGTCCTAAAAATCAGAAAGAACAGAATAGCTTTTTGTTATGCTTCGCAGGTGAAGAATTTAAAAAAGAAACAAACTTTGAATTTTTTTATATTAATTAAAAAAGATTGATTAATTATGAAGGGAGAAAGTCTATAAAATAAAGGAATTTTGGTGAAGTGAAAAGATAAACAATCTTGGAACTCAATTTGATATAAATCTTTATGTCATTACCAGGGGACCTTAATGTATTAACTCATAACCCAGATTTACCAATTTCTACAAAAGCAGACTTTGAAGAATTCAAAGGATTCTTTGATCAAACTGAAGGATGGATTGAATCATATAAAGATGAACACACCCAGGTTCATTTTAAAAATCCAGAAAACACAGCAGAGATTCAAGTCAAATTAGTTTCTGATGCTATGAAAGATATTCCTGCTCAAGTTATTTATGAGTGCATTCATGATCCAGATTATAGAAAAACATGGGATGATCGTATGATTGAAGGATTTTTAATTGAACAAATTGATGAATGTAATGATATTGGATATTATTCTGTTGCTATGCCATTCATTATTTCCAACAGAGATTGGGTTAATAGAAGGAGTTGGTGGCATAACCCAGAAATGACAGAATTCATCATTTTCAATTTTTCTCATAAACACCCATTAGTCCCAGAAAAATCAGGATTTGTTAGAGCTTGGTCTTATAAATCAGGCTATTATATGAAAACTACTGAAAAAGGAACTATGTTCTATTACTTTGGATGGAATTCATGGAATGGATGGATTCCAGCATGGTGCGTTAATAAAGCAACTAAAACTATGGTTGGAGGTGTTATTGATAGTTTAATGAAACAATCTGCTGCATATGAAGAATGGAAGAGTAAGAATAAACCAGAAGATAGGCCATGGTTAAGAATGAATGAGTGGCAAAGAAAAGAGAAAGAAGACTATGACGCTAAACACGCTGGAGATAAGAAGGAAGAAGTAAAGGAATAAAAAGATCTAAATCACATCTTATCATTAACTTTCCTATTTTCTATAAAAAAAAAGAAAAAATAAAATAAAAGAATTTAAAAAGAAATAATTATTTATTATTTTAGATGAGTACATCTTTAACAAAAGAAGAGTCAAAGAAAGAAATAAAAGAAGAAATAAAAGAAGAAATAAAAGAAGAATTAAAGGAAGAATTAAAAGAAGAAACAATTGATAACATAGATAATTCAGAATGTTCAGAGATATATGACCCCGAAGAAGAAGACCATCAAAACATTATATTCAAAAAGTTTTTATTAGGAGATAAAAAATTTCCACAAAATTTAGTTGGTCGATTTGCAGAGTTATGGGGAATGATGGAACAAGAATTAAAACCAAATGGAGTGTTTGCTTTGCATTGGGATGAATTTACAGGAGATGATGATTTTAAAGACCTTCCACCAGTTAAGCCATGGCAAGATACTACAGTTACAGACGCCTTGGTGTCTTGTTTCAACTATGGTCTTAATGAAAGGTTTTGGATGAATTATAGAAAGAAGCATGACTTACTTAAGAAATACCTTGATGAAATAACTGGAATTGAAAAGGAAAAAACATATGATCGAGGAAGAGTTGAGGATCAGCGAGACTCATCGAGGTATTCAAGAAGTCATTCAAGAAGGCGTTATTCAAGGAGTAGATCCAAAGGCCATTATTCACGAAGTAGGTCCAGAGGTCGTTATCCACGAAATAGATCAAGAAGTCATTATTCACGAAGTCGATCAAGAAGTCATTATTCACGAAGTCGATCAAGAAGTTCTGACAAGTATTATAGTCGCACTAGAAGAAGTAGGAGTAGAAGAAGGAGTGATTCCAGAAGACGTAGGCGTCATTAATTACAAACAATTGACTGTGTTATTTAGTTTAGTATTATTTCTTTTTTCGTATTTCAATGCTATTGTTGGAAGAAGAGTTTTATGTGAATGTTTTATTAACTTAAACAATGAATAAAAACTCGGTAAAAATGAAGAATTGTTATCTAAGTTATCAGTTGAGTTAAACAATAAAGTTTTTATACTAAAAATTAGTTTATATTAATCATTAATAATTCTTTTATAATTTTATATAAAAATTTCTGCAACTTAACAAAGCTTTTTTTAATTATTTAAATTTGTGAATATAAATTTAAGAGATGATATGACAACTAAAACTATTTTGATTCTATAAGAAATAAATATATCCAGAAATATTTTTTGTTTTAACTTACATAGTTTTATAAAGAACAGACATTAATAAATTAAACACAATAAAGATAATAAATTTAAGTACTCAGTTTAGTAGAAAAAGAATGAATAAAAGAACAATTCAAGTAATTTTACTGTTTTTAAAAAAGATTCGATTAAAAAAGAATAAAAAAATTACTCTTCCTTCTTAAGAACTAATACTACCTTAAATTAAATATCCAAACAATAAAAAAGAAATGAGAAGTAAAAGTTAGATATAGAAATTAACTTATTCTAATAAACACAAATGCAATGAAATCAATTAGTTTTCAGACTCAGAACTAGACATTGTATTTTCAATAAAACCATCTTTAATATCATGGTAATTATAAACCCAACGAATAAAATAAGCAGCAATGGAAGTAATAAGATATAACAATATTGCTATACAACAAAATATTGGAATTAAATCTTTGTGTTTAAAAAAATCATTCATAGTAATAGTATGTTGAGATGAATAATAAGACTCAAAAAATGCATAATTTAATCCATACAATAATTGTTGAGCAAAAATAATCCCGCAATTAAATATACCTACAAATAACCCAAAGTGACTTGATGGAACAATATTCTTTAATAGAGCAAATGGAATACTTAATAATTGAGCAGAAGAAAATGCAACTGGAATAATAAATATACAACTTAATGACATCATTAGCAATAAGTTAGATGAATTTAATAATTCTATTCTTATAGAAGAATAAAAACAAATAGATGATAGTGTTAAAGGTAAAAATGAAATTAAAGAAGTAATAGCATTAGAAATAGACATCATATACCACGGATATTGTTTTTTAGTTAACATATAGATACAATACCCAAGTTGAGCAAAGGCAAATATGATTGATTGAATTCTTGACATTATATCAGGTGTTATAATATTTAATGATTTTTCATAAAACACTACACTATAAAAATGGAATAGTTCAGTATTGCATGAATCAAATGCTACAAATGACATCCATCCAAAGAGAAGAATTAACCAATTACAAACAGTATAACGATTAATAGCAAGAATTGACTTTAAACAACTCTTAATAAATATAAATAAAGGAACACGATCAGCTGGAATAAAACTCTCTGTTGCAGTAAAGAATGTAATTGTACTTGTTAATGGTACAATAAAAATTGCTAATGAATATAATACTAGTACAGTAATTGAACGTACTTTAACACCTATTCCTGATGTATAATCTATTGACTCAATGATAAGAAAAGTAATATGAATAATAAGCCTTGCAAAAAGTGATAAAGCAATGAACATTAATGCACATGGATGTTGATGTTCAATAGGAATAATATCTAGTACTAATGTTCTTGATACAACTTGAAGTATATTTGTTCCGACATATAATAAACATAAACCGATCATCTATAATTAATGTTATTCTCTATAACCTTCTTATATAAAGAAAATATTATATATATAAAACAAACAAGAAAAATAAATTGGAATGTGGAAAAATCATTCTCTTTAGAAGGAGAAACTACTTCAACAATTCCTGAAATCACTTGAATACCAATACTAATTATAACAATTAAATTACCAAGTAATAAAAATGGTCGACGTTTACCCCAACGAGAGTTAAACCAATCGCTGCATGAACCAATAACAAGTTGAACAATAATTCCAATTACTGGTCCAATAAAAACACTTATAATTGTTGAAAGATAAAATGGTAATTTGAAAATAGTTGCAGCATATGGAATAGCATCTATAAATTAATTACTTCCATTTAATTCATGTAAAACATGAAAATAACAAACACAAATACTCAATTCCAAACTCAGATGCGTTTAGAAGAACAAGAAGGAAAATTAGACGAGTATATTCTCCCATTTTAATAATTAGGAACTTCGATTCTAATTATTTTTTAAGATGAATTAATATAGTATATTGAATAATTTTAAATTAGTTTTTATTATTTTTATTTATTAAATTAAAATATAGTTAAATATTTTTATTTTCTTTATATACAAATAAACCCATAATTTCATAAGTAATTTATTTTATTTAATTATTAATTAAACTGAAAGCTTTTAATTGGATCGCCACTTGCCATGGATAAAACTCATTAGTTGAAGCCGCCAGAAAGTGTGCAAGAGTATTAGGACGTAATTTAAAAACGAAATGGATAGCGTTAGGAAAATGGTGTCTTAGGAGATATCAACGCCGAAACGTCCTTACATTTTTGAATATTTTTATATTCAACAAAAATTTTTGTTATTTTTTGTTCAATAAATTCTAAAAAAACTCTCTCAATTTTAGTTATTGAAAATTTCAATTAATAATGACTAGCAATGCATACTCTTTTTAGGAACTATCAAATCACTCAAGCCATAACTAAATAAAAGAATTTATTTTATTAACTTATTAAAAAAGATAAATTCTTTATTATTAAGTTTTAAAATTAAAGAATAGTATTTGTTTATGTTTTTTATTGTAATTTTTAGTGTTTTTCCAAAGAACTAGAAAATATTATATTTAAAAGATCATACGTTTCAAAATTTAAAGAAAAGGAAAACTAGAAAAGTACAGAAAATGAATTTCCAAACCACTTTGCAAGGAAATCTTGAATTTGTTTTTAAACATGCAAGTCATGACGTCAAATTTGCTGGAGATCTTGCTGAGTTATTAGATAAATTAAGGTCTACAAGAAAAGAGTACTGTAAAAATATGGTTAAAATTGCACAAGAATTCCAAAAACATGTTGAAAATGAATGTTTGTATGGAACTACAAAAGAAGCTGTCACACAACTATTAACTTCAGTATTTGAAGAGGCTGATGGACAAATGAAAACAGTTGAAGTTTTAACAACGTCAATTGATAACTTTAAATCTAAAATGAAGGAAGTAGAAAAATCTGCTAAAGCAGTTAGACAAGATGCTGAAAATAAAATAAAAGATGTAGAGAAATGTAAAGATGCTACAAAAAAAGAAAGAGATAAATTTGTTAAATGTCATAAAGACCTTGTTAGTGCAGAGTCAGATATTGAGAAAGGAAAAGCTAATAATCTCATTGATAAAAAGATTAAATCACTTGAAGAGAAAAGAGATCATTGCAAAGAAAAAAAAGAAGATCAAAATAAAATTTACACTAACTCAGTTGAAACTACTAATAAACGAATTAAACATTTCTTTGACGTTGACCAAAATGAAATATTAGACTGTTATAATAAATTTGAAGTAGCTTATTTAGAAGCTATGAAAGAAATATTAAAGAACTTCTCTAATTCATTAGCTAGTATTCCTGAAGTTGTTAAACAATCAATGGATAAATATAATGAAAAAGCATCTTCAATTGACCCTCAAAAAGATATTGTTACCTTCTGTGATTCTAATAACACTTATTGCCATACTCCTACTTATCTTCCATTATATGATGCAGATGGTTTAATTATTAAACAAGAAGGTGCTCTTAATGCTCGTAGAAGTGATGACCCTAAAGGTATGGAACGAGTATTTTTAACCTGTACTGTAATTAAAGATTTTGAAGCAGAAGGTCCGGAAGAGATGTCTGTTAAACGAGGAGATACAGTTATTGTTTCAGAGAAACATTTATCAGGATGGTGGTATGCATCAAATAAAGAAACGGCTAAAGCTGGTTTTGTTCCAATGACTTTCTTAAAAGATACAAACTAAAATTTAATTCATTACTTCAAAAGAAGTCAATTAAAACTTAGTTTTTGATATGTAAGCTTTAAGATATGCTGTTGTAATTGGTTTCTTCTTAGCTTCATAAGCAACAATAAAATCTTTCATTGAAGAACTAACAATTTTTTTAAGTTCTCCAGATAATAACTCTCCTTTTGAATATTTTTCTTCCACATCTTTTACTTGTGTATCATCAGAAGAGAAGATATTAAGTAATTGGAATGAAACATCAATATCACATTGACCACCGAGTTTTCTATGTTCTTCAGTAGTATTTCTTCCTCCAGAAAAAGCAAGTTTATTAATTTTACGTTCAACTTGTTTAGCATTATCAGAGAGAAGAATCGAATTGAGATCAGATGGTATATCAAATTTAGTTACTCCAGATAATAAAGGAACCATTTTATGGAAAAGAACACTTGGTTGAAGGAAATGAAGAGTAGAAGCAATTTGATCAATAATTGAATGGAATTGAACATTTTTTATTGAGTCAAGAACTAAACAGCGAGCAGGAGAAGAAAAGAAATGAGAATAAGATTGAGAAAACATTGAAGCTGTCATAATTGATGGTGATGATAATTTACCAATATTATCTGAATATTCAAAATTAAAAAATGGTTGAACTACGTTATAAGCAGTTGCTTTTTCTACTAATGAAATTGTTCTATACATTTTTCCAAAATATTGGTAATCAGTATAAATAAATGTTTTATCTTCATTAAATCCAAATGCAAGAATATATTTCATTAAATCATTTGACATTTTACTTGCTTCATTTATTGTTGCCTCTCTATTTAATACTTTTATATCATCTAATATTTGAATAATTACTTGAACATTAAAAGCGTCTTGAAGATAACGAGCAAATTCTAATGTAACATACTCTTCTAAAGCAATTTCTTTTTGAGGATATTTTTGTATAAAAATAAAAGTTGGTTTCTTTGCTTCAACATCATCTAAAAATTTATCTAATGACTTCTCTGCTAAGAAAACTCCTCTAGAAAGATAGTGATGAGGTGCTTTACCACTTAATTGTTCTATTCGTTGAATTTGTTGAGGTGTAATTGCATTAATTCCATTGGAATTAATTAACTGCTTATAATCAGTTGTTTGAGTAGTAAATGATTGTAATAATTGTAATGGTGTTTGAGTTTGTAATGACATTGTAAATAATAATTTAGGGTTTTTTTTTCTTTATTTTTTCATCTTTTCATTTTAAATTTTTATTTGACAAAATGAATAGAAAGACATAAGAAAATTGATAAAAACCAATCTTAGAGTTTGTTAATATATTTTTGTAAATGAGAAGGTATTGAAAGTAATTATCACTTAAATATAGCGTAATTCTTTTCATATAACATCATTGACCAATATTTAAAAACATCAAACTAACAATTAAGTATAACTAATAATTAGAAAAAAACTAAAAAATATTTAACAAAATGATTGTAGAAACTTTTATTGATGGGCGTTATGAACAATTTCAAATAACTGAAAAAGTTGAGACAATAGATGAGATTGCCCAGTTAATTTCTTATAGTAAAAGAATTTCAAAAGAGACAATATGTTTTGTATATAATGGAGAGATTGTTGATCCATTACTTTCTTTAAATGATTTATCACTTAAAGATACAAGTAAACTTCGGTATTTTATTAGTCATTCAACTTTAGAAATTAATGACATTCATCCTCAAGAAGGGTATACATCAGGTGGTACACATGTCACATTACAAGGGAATTTCCCTGAGTCAAATGGAAGGTATATTGTTCGATTTGGGACTTTAGAAGTTGTTGGACAATATATTAATACCAATACAATTACTGCAATTACACCACCACATGCACCTGGGCCTGTTAGTGTTTTTATTAAATTAAATCAAAACGGACGTTTTATAGAAGGGAAGACTTTATTTAGTTATGTTAATCATGTAGTTGGTCCAAAAGAAATTGAGGTTCAGTGCTTAGATAAAATGAGTCACCAAATGACATCACAACGATTTGCATCTGGTTCAAATGGTCTTTAATTCAATTCTTTTAATTGTATTATTTGATTTTGTTTAAAAGCATTAGAAAAAAATTTAAAAGGGAACTTTAAATATTAGTTCTTTTATTATGGAAGAAGACCAAAAGGAACAATGGCTTCATCACTACGAAGAAGATCCAACTGATCCACAATTTCATTTACATAAAAAACAGTGCATGGTATTTACACCAGCTGGTAAACCAGTATTTTCAAGATATGGAAATGTGCTTCTTTTATCATCATACTGTGCAACATTAACAGGGATTATATCATACACCAATAATGATCCTATTAAAGAAGTTAAAATTATTAATGAAGCAGTAATAATATTTGAAACAGATTCACCACTATGGTATTGTATTATTTCTCAAACTAACGAAAGTTGTAAAGTCCTACGTGCACAATGTTCTATTGTATCTCATGTACTTCATTCATTTATTCCATTGCCAACAATAAAACAAACGTTAGATTCTTCTAGTAATTATGATGTAAGAAGAGTAATTAGTGGACATTATTCATTACTTAAAAATGCATTAAAAACAGCTAATAATTGTATTGGATGTAGTGTTAATTGTACAACAATTTATCCCCTTCTATCTGAACAAAGAAAATTTATTGAAGAACGTATTGAATCTTCAGTAAAAGTTATAGAAAAACAAATGGATAAAGATGGTATTATCTTTGTTTTAATTTTTAAAAATGAACAAATTATATTTGCACGTGGAAGAAATAATGCAAAATTATCTTCACGTGACATAATAACATTAATTACTCATATTAATACAATGAAAAGAGTAGGAAAGAAAGTTCTTCAACCAATATGTTTATCTGATTTTAATGAAGATGGATTTGTTCAGAGTTATTTTGATTTTATAAAAGAAGGAGTTACTATTGTTGCAATTTCAACATTACCTGAGTCAATTGTTTCATTAAATATGTTATGTATTGATATTGAATCATATTTAAAAGACATTTCTCTTGAAGATGTTATTTTAAAATGTCCAATGAGATTAGAAAATAAATTATTGGCTTTAGTAGTATCTAAAAATCATCAAATGTATATTGAAGGAAATTTAACAAAACAAATGAAAAGAGATATTGCAAATGCATTTTCAAGAAATTATACTAATGAATTTATTAAATCAGATTATTATTATTTATTACATAATAGAACAGGTGATATAGAATTTGTTGCTTTATCTAATCTATTTTTATCTAAAGATATTCAAATAAATTTAACAAATGAGCTTCTTAATTGGCTTGATTCTGTAGCACCTTCTTTGTGGTTAGAATCTCCACCTTTATGGTAGTTATTCTATAAAAGATTATTTATCATTCATTTATTAATTCTACTACTTTTTTATTTCTTGGATGTTAATATTTTTACATGAAATTAATTGAATTATTGATAAACTGTATTGTACTTTCCCAATTGTTGGACAATAGTTTCTATACTTGATCTACATCGACTATCATCTAACCATCCATTGGAAATAATGTCATAAATTTCTTGTCTCATATCATCTGGTTTAGTAGGACGTTTTTTATCACAAACAAATTGTGCAATTTGCCAAGGATATTTAAATTGTTCTTTTGGATAGGCAGGTCCCCATTTCATTGTTTCAAACATTGTTACAGATAATGAAAATACATCTGCAGCTGTTTTATATCTGCTTTGATCAAGTACTTCAGGAGCCATATAAACTGGTGTACCAATACCTTTAGTAAAAGTCATATTAGTCATCATTGAATTAATATTTCTTGATGATCCAAAGTCTGTTATTTTAGCAAATACAGGAACATTTTTATCTAATGAGAATATAAGAAGATTATCTGGTTTAATATCTCTATGTAATATTCCATTTTGATGAAGATATTCAATTCCTCTTGCAGCATCCATACAAATCTTGATTCTAACAGCTTCTTTAGGTAATTTTTTCATTCCTTGTTTAAATATAAGATGATATAAAGATCCGTACTTGGCATATTCTGTTACCATACATATTTTATTAGGAATAAATACTGCTCCATAGAAATGAACTATGTACTCACTTCTAAATTTATCTAACATAGATACCTCTTTTTTAAATTCATCTAATTGTTCATCTAACATCGAATCAGATTTTAGAGTTTTGATAGCAACACTCTCCCCTCTGAAAATTCCTTTATAGACAATACCAAAAGAACCTTCACCAACTTTCTTTTTTATCTCTAATTCATCAAAGTCAAGTATATTAGTAATATTAGTCATTCCTTCAATATCAACTTTCAAAGACTCTTCTCTATTATCATTAAAATGAAGAATATTAATCATAACAGATTCGGTAATATGGGTAGAACAAAGTGGTTTAATTGTATAGTGAAAAGTAACACATTTACCTTTACTTAAAATGACTAACTTTGGTTCTATAGTTAATTCTATTTTTTCATTTATAACTACAGTTGGTTGTAATTTAATTCTTTCTTTTCCTACATTACCAACAATTTGGTTAAATTCTCTTGTTTCTCCAACAATTAATTGATCTTCATCAAAGAATTCAAAACTAGGATGGTCTGTAATTAAGAAATCACAAGCATAAACCAACTCAATGTCTCTTTCTTTTAAATCTTTAATTTTCATAATATCATTTTGCTTAATCTTCATACTCTTCTTGAAATAATAATACGCTCCAACAACTACAAAAATTAATATAATAAAAAGAATACATATTCCGATAATCATATATATATACCAATATGATTTCTTTTTACATTCACCATTTTGTACCATATAATTTCTTTCACATTTAGTACATTCAATTCCATTAGCTGCTTTACAATGTTCTGTTGTTTTAAAATATTTACATACCCCTTTACTATTAATATAATCATTATCACATATACTACATTCTTCTCCTCTACATTGATGACAATTATCACTGCATTTTATACAATGGTAGTCAAATAAATAATACCCATCAACACAGGTACGACATCCATATTCATATGTTGTATTGCAGTGTTCAAGATCTTCATAAGCTTCACACTGCATTTTGTATAAGAAATAATCTTTTTTACAACTAATTGCATGGTTAGGTCCAAAACATGTTTCCATTGAATTTGGACAACCATAACATAAAGAACCTTTTTTATAATATCCATCATTACAAACAGCACATCCTAGTTTACTTAATGTTTTTTGTTTACATGAAACTGCAAGTTCATTTCCTAAATAACAAGTATTTTCACTTAGTACATATCCTCCACTTGGACACGACATACAATACGTTGAGTTAATTACACATGAACCGCAATTCTCATCACATTTTTTACAGATTCCATTTGATGCATAATATCCATCTTTACATCGTAGACATGACCCATAACGAATAATATCACATTCTTCAAATGTTATATCAAATTCAATTTCTGTTAAAGATTGAGTTGTAACTGTTTCTTTATCTTCACAAATCTCTCCTTTTAACAAAGCTGATTCATTAATACATTCAAGACATGTTCCTGTTTCATCGCATACTTTACAACCTTGTCCACATTTTTGACAATTTTCTTTTTTGTAATACTGTTCTTTACATAAGAAACATTTTGAATTTGTTATACTATTACAATTGTCCGAACTTAAAGTACAAATACCATTTAATAGCAACTTAGTTTTACAAGACAGGCATTGGTTTAAATCACATAAATTACAATCTTCATCATGATGATATGAAGAACAACTTTGACATGACCCATCAACAAGGACATAACCTGATTCACACTCTACACCAGTATTACCTACAATTGAATTAAATTTTATTGAATTGCTAACATCAGTAGTACTTAAACATTCATTATTAAATAAAATAAATCCGTCTTTACATATAGTACATTTACTTTTTTCATTATCACTTTTATAACATTGAACACAATTCTTTTGACAGTCTCCTGTGCAACTAACACCATCAATAGAATATTTACCTTCAGCACATTTAACACACTTATTATTATAATAAAGTAAACAATCTTGAGCAATTTCTTTACTACACCCGTCATCTGACAATGTGTATCCATCTTCACATTGTAAACAATATGTATCATTAAGACATTTCTTACAATTAGTCAATGAAGAGCAAGACAAACACTCCTGAACATTTTTATTGTTTGAAAAATAATATCCATCACTACATTCAGTACAATAACCTAAAGTGTGATATGATTGACAATTTTCAAGTTCAACGTGTGGTACACAAGTTCCATTAATTATTCCTTCTCCACAACTTAGACAACTGTAACTATTACTAGAAAATACACCAACCATACACCCATCTGTATTGTCTGCTACAATTTTACCATTAAGGTCATTCAACCTTCCTGTTTGCATTGACACAACTCCATCAGTCATTTTAATGTCAATAGATTTTTTGGCATCTAACTTGATAAAAGTTGTTTTACTGGTAAAAGCAATGGAACTACTACTTTTAATAGAGATGACAAAGGCGTTTATTTTATTTCCACTAACCACTACTCTTCCACCATCAACAATAAAAGTATTAAATAATTTTGATACGTAGTTAAAAGTTAAATCTCCTTTTAATGTAAGTGTTACACTATTAATTGCATTAATACTGAGAATAGACGCATGCCCATAAGAGCCAATAATTAGATCTGTGTCAGCGTTAATAGTACCAGTTAATGATCTATCATTACGAAGCATAATATGTTTATATTTCAATTGATCCATATAATAGAAACAATGCTCACCATCACATGGGCATTGGTCATATTTAAATACCTCTAAACTAGATTCAGCTGGATAACATTTAATTTTATCATCCAAGTTATCTTTGGGACATACCCTAACTATTCTGTCAAGAACTAGAATTGTGTATTCATTATTTGTGACATTAATACCATTCATTCCAGAATTTAAATCAAGAAAAGAACTAGCTAATTCAAAACATTTAGTGTTTGTAGTAGTAAGAGTTAATACCAAAGAACTATCAGAAGAAAATTTTCCTTCGG